GGAAGGAAAAGAAATAGAGCCATTACTTTATTATGTATATCCACATTCGTTTAAATTTCAAGCACTGCTCCAGCCTTTTCACACATTTCCTCAAGTTTCTTTTTGTTTAAATATTACTGCCAACATGCCAAAATTGTCAATACCCCTTGAAAGAAAGTCTAACCTCACTACAACTGGCATGAAGGCAAAAAAAAAAGGAAAATGGCTGAACATGAGGCTTGAAATTTAAGATAATAAAACATTACATCTATTTTTAAAAGGACAGGAAAAGTAAAGTTGGATCAAATATTAGACGTTTAAAAAAGTTTAAAGTTCAAGTGATTTTTAAAATATATATTTTGGAACTTTCAATGGATCATCAATATCTGTTAATTCAATAAAGGGACACCTAGCATTGGCAGTAATTGACTGTAAAAGAGTTGATCTGAAAATTTTTTGCAAATACCATGAAAAATCTTGCCCTTCTTTTTTGTAATAATAAGTAACAAATAAACTATTACCTTCTGCACATTCTACATATATAAAATCCTGACTCTGCATCTTTTATTGTGTCCTGCTGCATGGCTGCTGTTTAAAGTGGATCCTAGTCCTGTTAGACTATGCAACAAACACAGTAAGCAGCATAACTGGGAACACTGATCTGTGAATTTCTCCTAGAAATCCACAGTAGTTTTCACAATCATCTTACATTAGTATTTGTATAGATACAGAGGGCTAAAGTAAGTAAATAATTTTTCCAGATACAGGAAGACCAAGCTGGTACTTTGGAAATAGTTATCATTTTACCAGATCTGAAAGATGCTTTCTTTGGTTAACTTCTTTCATACTTAAAGGAACAACAAGCTATCTTCATCAACATAGTACTCTATTAGTTAGTAGCAAATCTATATTTATGTATAAATATTTATAACCACTTTTATTTTCAATATACAAACACTTAGACCAATTCCAGCTAATTAAGACTAAAGAAAAGTAAATATAAAATTTTTAACTTTATTGACAATATACTCTTCTTTATGGTACATTATGATAACTAACTACCTCTGTCATTTTTAAAAGTAATCATTCTAGTATTTGCACCAAGCAACTTCTTTGTTGATTATTGCTGATTCAAATCCTTGGTATTTAGGGAAAACATGCTTTGTATCTGCATAGTTTACCCTGAAATATTTCGTCCCTCTCACTGACATAAAGACATGAACACTTCTCATTACATATCTAGGCCAGAAAGTAACCGTAAACCATAAATTGTTCTCTATGTAAACACACATTTGTGTGCCTTTACAAAACCTCTCCGAGAAAGGTTTAGGAAGTACTCTGCTTCAGCTTTAAATGTAATCTTTAATAGTGCAGTGCTGCAGGATTACTTCTATGTATCATATATTACTGGCAGAATCATGGAATTTTAAACATATGTTGCAGGAAAAAACAGACATTATTATTATTATTATCTAGCTAGACCTATTGATAAGAATCTTGAAAAAAAATTAAAATTCAAGGCAGAAAAAGACACTTAGTGAGAAATCTAACCATCAATGTAAACTTCAGTGCTTCCTACACCAAAAATAAAAAAGAAAGAAAAAGGAAAAAAAAGGTAAACAAAAAAAAAGAGGCAGTATCAAACTGGATGAAGACTACATTCCAGTTGTTTGCTTTTGGTATTAATCTCAAGGACAAAAGGAATCTCTTTGGAAAGCTAATTTTAAAGTAAATAAGCCTGAAGTTTAGTTGTTTAACTTGTACTAATTTCAGAATAGAATCAAGACCATAACTAAAATAATGCCCAGGTCACACTGTGATACCTACAACTGGATTTTAATTGACTTAAAGACTGTCATAGTCCTATTATCATAAAACCTGTAATGCACTTCCAGCATGGAGGACCCATCTGTGCCCAGCATCCATCTGTTTAAACATGATTGGCAAAGTGGTAGGGAACTCGCAGTGGTCGCCTCTGCCTGAAAGGAATAAACCACAGGATCTTCCAACGAGTGCCAAAAACTTCTGAGAAGGTCTGCTGCCATGGCTTTCGGGGCCTCGATCTACGGAAGACAGCATCATTAGCGAAAGACAGCATGCTCACAGTGCACTTCAGTCAGCAACAGAAATGTAGGTTGGCTGGAGTTCCAATACTGGACTCTGATGAATTGTGTCCAAGCACCAGAAATACAACTTTTATTTCATTATGACGTGCAGCTGAGACTTAAGTTTGGAGAACAGAAACTGTCTGTGTCATCAATCAAACAAAGGCACCTTTTGAAGCACAGGCAACCTCAATATTAATGAAATGTATGTCAAAGCACTGCAGAAAGTATCTTTTGATCTGTACTTTTGGAAAGAAAATATAGTTCCACTGGCTTTGGGTAGGGAAAGAAAGGGAACAACATGAGGCTATTTTGTGTACAACCACTATTAAAAGATTAGTGAGGTGCTACTAGAGATAGGAAGTACAGAGCACCATACCATGCAAAATCGTCTTAACAGACAGCTACTCCCTTACCATTTCAACAGTGTAGGAATTTTACAGAACTTACATGTCTTCGCAACAGTGTGACATTTTTTCTATACTTGTAGTGTCCTGTTAAAGAAAACAAAAACCACAATAAAATTGTTTTTTTTTTATGTTACTAACCTTTAAAATGTCATTATGTAAGTAAGTAAATATAGCAGGGAATGAATTATTAATGTACACTGTTTTACGTTAGTTCAGTAGGCTGCATATTACACATATGCCATATCAGTTTTAAATGAAAGTGAGATTACATACATAGATTTTAACTCAGTCTGTTAAATGATTTTACAAGCATGACATGAAACTATACTGTGCAGTTTGACTACAATACCAAAGAATGTCAACAAAAACTTACAGCATTATTACAGCTAAAAATAATTCAGATATTACAATTAATGCACAGGACATTTAGAAGCAATGAGGAAAAGGTCCACTCTTGCCATACTTTCCACAAGCACTCATTCCAGACTTGGAGTATCCCACTGAGATAGCCACAGGAAAAGCTAGTAAAATGCAGTCACTAACAGACGTAGTATTTTGAAAAGCAGGAGCTAGTCAGAAGTTTTAAAACCATTAGCTTCATGAGTCTTATAATGCAAACAGCACAACTGAAAATATACCATGAGTTTCTACAGTTCCTACAATACCAAATACAAAAATTGTTCTCTTAAAATATAAAAGCTAAATAATGTGCAGAGTGAAGGCAATCCTGCAGCTAACAGCAACTTAAATTCATACTTCAATTACAAAATGTTAAGAAAAGTTACAGATCAGTTTTATCTTAGATCACCCCCAAATAAAACTTAAAATTACCAATAGTACTTTTTTCTCACTTTTACTATGGATTTCACGAAAAAGCTTCCTTTGTGAGTATCATGTAGGGGTTTCAATACACATATATAGTTCATTGCATCCCAAAATCACTTGTGAAGTTCAAAACACAATTAATTGAAATATTCTTCATGATTTTAACTCATTTTCATTGATATCATTTTCATTCCCTTTACTTTTCATTGATTCAGACCTGCACTTAATGAACTTGTCAAATTACATTATAATTTGGATAAGACCAAGAGCTAATCTCAGTTGTCCCAACCACATACAGACAAAAGGACAATGGTTTAACTATGCTGCAACTTCATCATCTGGAAACATTACCTAGCACTAAAAACCATACTGTGCTCCTTGATTGTTCCTGCATGCAATTCAGTGGCACTCCACCACTATCTTTCATAAAGTTTTAAGGGGGAAAGGTGCAATGTGAGTGGGAAATAATGTACAGGAAGCTGATTTTCCTGCTCCACCAGACATGGCTGGCCCAACCCCCTTTCCAATTTTTCTCCTTCTATTCTACTTCCCACCTCTGAAGTGTTTTGGAACAGGATCCCTTACCACACTCTAAACAGTCAAAACCTTAATTCTGTCCATGACCTATCCAGCAGGATGCTCAAGTTCTTGTCCAGAAGTTTGTGCAGAGAAGGCATGCCCACTGAAGGTTATATAAACCATGCTGGCCCCATTGTTAGGTGGGTTTTAATGCCTATTCAGCAGTGAGGGAGGAAAGGACTGGAGGCAGCAAACTGTAAATACTGCTTCTTGTTTTGATTCCCAGATAAAATGCTGCTCCTCTCACATTACAGGCCTGTTTTCCCTCTGTTGCCCCAAGCATCAGGAAAGCTTTGCAAGACGCAAGTCATTCACCTTCTTGTCCTTATTACTTGACAGCACACCCAAGGAATACTTTGTTTCCTTGGACTGGCTTTTTGTTCAGCTTTTGTCAGAGAAAACACCATCTCTGCTGACCACAGAAATTAATGACTGGCTTTTTTGATAAAAAGGACTAAGTGAACAAGAGATTACTTCCTCGGCATTTCAGCAGGGTGGTAATAGCATTTTAATGAGATGCTATAGCTCCTTCTGTAACTGAAAAAAAATATCCCAGTCCCAGGAATTGTTCTCTGGTCAACTCAAAGCTGTTTATTAAATAGTACAAAATATTGCCGTATTTGAAAGCAGTGATGGAAAACTGGTCTTTTGTAACACAGTAACATGCAAGTCTACACGCTAAATTGACTTGTAGTTACAGAATATTTATGCTACCATTTCAGAAGAGGGGCCTTTAAACCAGCTTTAGGTCCAGAAGTAACATCTTAAACATGGCTTTCTGCTATGTTTCTGAACATTGTTTATTCATTAATACACTTGTACTGCTCCCTAAAATACTGTGTTTTAGATTTTTGGGGGGAAAAATCATAGGTTGGAAACTGGAGATTGTGTTTTAAGTCTTGTCATGGCATGTTATCAAGACCTGAAAGGTTCTCATGAGGGTCCACTCCCCTCAAAATTGTAACCTCTTAAATTAACTAATTAATTTAAATTTAATTTATCTTAATTAATTAGGGTAAAGCACCAAACCATGAACAAATTAACTAACTTCCTTTCCTTTCCCTCCCTCCCTCCTTTCCTTCCACACTTCCTTCCTTCCACACTTCCACACTTCCACACTTCCTTCCACACTTCCACACTTCCTTCCACACTTCCACACTTCCTTCCTTCCACACTTCCACACTTCCTTCCTGCCTTCCTCTCCCTTCCTGCCTTCCTCTCCCTTCCTCCCTTCCTTCCCTCCTCCCTCCCCTTCCCTTAAAATGCCAACAAATACTTTAGATTACTTTCGCTTTACAGTAAAGAAACTGGGGCTGACCAGTGAGCCCTTTGCTTCTTGGATACTTTTTCAAAATTAAAAAAAAAAATAGAGCCACATTTTAAAAGCTGAAAACTAGCAAAGAAACATTGCTCTGAAGTTTAGCTGTTTAACAAGTGCTAGTGACTATATGTAGGAAACACAATACCCCTCATACCTTCCCTCCCCCAACACTGCTGCCAAACAGGCTCATTTGAAATGTACTTTCATTTGAGAGTGAAACCAATTTACCTTTTGACATGAAAGTGAAACTTCACAGCACCCCAGGAAAGTCAGTAGCCCCTCTTGAGACAGGAGATGAAGGAAAAGGAGAGTACCACAGCAGAGTTTTGACTGTTATGTAAGGCTTCCTTCTCAGACATGATTTTTTTTCTTTTGGAGACAAAGGACCAGAATAAACCACTATTCTTCTGAATGACAAGGTGGTCTGCTCACTAAGACATCTCACAAATGTGTTTCAACTAGAGTATCATCTCTCTTAATTATGCATTTGATGTATACCAAGGTTTTGCCACAACATCAGAATTACTGCGTTCAGCCTAAGAGGCTTTTGCTGTCTGCATCTACTATCAGCTTGGATTACCATTAATAGAAATAGAACTCTGCTAAGATTTTTTTTTCAGACTCAAAGCTAATGCTAATGTTAAAACCTTTTTTGAGCACTGGCTCTCATCCAAAAGTTTAAAGTAACTTGGTAGGAGCAAATGTATCAATAGATCTATATATATATCACATATCTACAGAGTCCTAGTAATCTCTAACTCTAAAAATACCTTATAATTTGCAACTGAATACAAGATGAAATTGACAAACACAACTGATTAACATGACATGATGGATCATCTGGATTCCCAAAGTCATCATCCAGATTGGAAATAAAAATTGTTTTTGCACCTGGTTATTCAGAGATACATATCCAACGTATCGGGCATATCCAATGATAGGCACCTTAAAGCAACTAGAGAAAAAAACCTCACACCTTAGTGAGATAGGAAAAAGGAAATTAGAGAAAATAAACACACTTGTAGGAATAGCCAAAAAGCAAACTGTTCTGATTCCGCTGAGGGAAGAAAAAATATGTGGGTTTTTTTGAGGATATACTTCAAGTCCGTAACAGCAGCTTGCTTGCTCTGAACTAAGTAAGCTACTGACACAGCTAAGACTGCTGTAAGAGGAAGGAGAAGAATGAAGAGAAAGAGACACACATAAAAGCACCAACAGAGTTCTGCAAACCAATTTCGGATTCACTCAGAAATGAATGCATCCACATTATCTCCAAAGACAACTGTACCTTTTGCATATATGCTTTTATGTAGCATAAACATCTGCCAAAAAAAACCAATTCAAATATCACTTGCACTGTCTAACAAACTCTCCTATAAGATGGGTTTCATCATGAACTAATTTATCATGAAAAAGCACATGCAAAGGGTATTTTTCACTTACTAATTAATGTTTTCGAAAGCCTAAATTGTAATTTGTAATTTACAGGACTAACTCCAATGCATGCAATTATAATCCCTGGCTCAATTTTTCTTTTGTGTTTGCTTAAAGTGACATGCAACCATTACAGCTCTATTAAATATCTGCAGTAGTAGAATGCAAGCATCATGAATGCTTTTAGTATTTTTGAATGTTCAGTAGAGGTGAATCAGCAGAAAAGTATCATGAAGCAGAAAAACAGAAAACAAAACTTGCAAGCCGTCCTGGATTTGCAGCTTCTGCTTTTATCTGAAAGTTCAAGACAACACATCCTTTATATAAAGGGGGTTTTTTGGTCTTCTATCTAACATCCTTTCATGCTGCTCATGCAAGTGACAGGTGAGAAACTCAAGAATATAAAATATTAAACATAGAAAGAATATATCATATTTTTAAAATTTTCTCTTTTTTGGTACTAAATACATATTAGGTTTACTTTGGCCACTTTTTAGCATTGTTTTCTTAACCTAGACTTTAATGTATGTATATATTGTATATATGTATTTTCTTAATCTAGATTTTAGATATGATGGTTAAGTTTATCAATTATAATTACATTCAGCTGAAAATTATTAGTTCCATTTTAAGTTTAAACTCCCATATCAGACTCATGTGCTAAATGAAAAATAAAGCTACACTGTTACTTCTAGGGAATAGTCCTGCACTTTATGCTCTGATTAATTCAGTTAAATAGATTTCCAATTTATTTATGGGATATCAGATAATGACTCAATGAAAAGAAACCATTTACAACAGAGGCAATATAAGCAGATCTCTTAACTTCAGACTATTCCAAATCCATGGCATGTTTGGTGTAGATAGCTGCATGACAAGATATATGACAAAACATATTATATTTATTGATCCTTACAAATACCTT